TGGTCATAGGCTATGAGATGATGACACTGGCCAGGGAGTCATGGGGACACAGGGTGGTGACATGGGGACATGGGCCATGATGACACTGGCCATGGAGCCATGGGGACACTGGGTGGTGACATGGGGACAGGGACCATGATGACACTGGCCAAGGAGCCATGGGGACACAGGGTGGTGACATGGGGACACGGGCCATGATGACATTGACCATGGGGTCATGGGTTATGGGATGATGACATGGCCATTGAGCCATGGGGACACTGGGTGGTGACATGGTGACATGGGCCATGATGACACTGGCCAGGGAACCATGGGGACACAGGGTGCTAACATGGGGACATGGGCCATGATGACACCGGCCATGGAGTCATGGGGACACAGGGTGGTGACATGGGGACATGGGCCATGATGACACTGGCCATGGGGTCATGGGCTATGGGATGATGACATGGCCATGGAGCCATGGGGGCAGTGGGTAGTCACAGGGACACAGGGGCCATGATGACGCTGGCCATTGAGCCATGGGGACACAGGGTGGTGACATGGGGACAGGGGCCATGATGACACCGGCCATGGAGCCATAGGGACACAGGGTGGTGACATGGGGACAGGGGCCATGATGACACTGGCCATGGGGTCATGGGCTATGGGATGATGACATGGCCATGGAGCCATGGGGACACAGGGTGGTGACATGGGGACACGGGCCATGATGACACTGGCCATGGGGTCATGGGCTATGGGATGATGACACCGGCCATTGAGCCATGGGGACACTGGGTGGTGACATGGGCCATGGTCATGGGCTATGGGATGATGACACTGGGGTGATGACATGGGGACACAGGGTGGTCATGGGGACGGGGGCCATGATGACACCGGCCATGGGAACAAAGCCCACGGGGTCATAGGTCACGGCAACGCTGCCCCCCGCCCGTCCAAGAGGGGGCGAGCGGCGCAACGCGGCAGCGCCGCCGCCTGACGTCACGCGGCTCCGCCCCGCCCCACCCGCTCCTCCATTGGCTGGCTGCACCGCCCCCGCCGCTTCCCATTGGCTGGGACGGCCGCGGCGGGCAGGGAGGTGGGGCGGAAGTGGCGGTACCGGGGGCTGCTCCGCGCCGGCCCCGCCGCGTCTCGATGGTAGCGGGTCCCTCACGCGGAAGAGCGGCCTGAGGCGGCGGCAGGTGAGGGGGGCGGGTGGCAAGAGTGACCGGTCCGAGCTCCGGTACCGCCCGGGGTCCCCCCGGTACCGCCCGGAGAGACCGCGGTACCGCAGCGAGCCCCACTGAAGCTCTGGACCCACCCCGGTACCGGCCTGGGGCACCCCGAGGTGCCTTGGGGGGCCTGAGACACCCCTCGTACCACCCTGAGCCCCGTTGGAGCCTTGGGGTGTCCCCTGGGACCCGCTGGTACCAGTTGGTGTCCCCCCGAGGAGCCGTGGGACACTCCCGGTGTCGCCTTTAGCACCACTGCAGTCTTGGAACCCCCCTGGTACTGGTCTGGGTCGCGCATTGAGGCCTGCGTCCCTCTGGGTACTCCCTGAGCCCCGCTGGAAACCTGGGACTCCCATTTGGTACCAACCTGGGACCCCCGGGATGCTCCCTGTGCCCCCCAGGAGTCCCAGGACCCCCCTGGGACCATCCTGGGACCCCCTTGAGCCCCCCTGGAGTCCCAGGACCCCCCTGGGACCAGCCTGGGACCCCCTTGAGCCCCCCAGGAGTCCCAGGACCCCCATGATACCAGCCTGGGTCACCCAAAGAAGCCCTGGGAGACCCCCAGGACCACCCTGAGCCCTGTTGGAGCCTTGGGACCCCCCTGGTACTAGCCTGAGATCATCCTAAGCCCAACTGGCGTCCTACAACTTCCCAGTACCAGCCTGGGGCACCCAAAGGAGCCCTGGGACACCCTCGGTACCACCTGGAGCCTCAGCGGAGTCCCGGGACCCCCCCAGGTACCACCTCATGACACCCCAGTACCACCCTGGGTGACACCTAGGTCCCCTCACTACCACCCTGGCTCTCCCCATGGAGCCCAGGACCCCCCAAAAGCTACAGCACAACATGACGCTTGTTCATCTCCTCCAGGATCCCCTCTGGCATCCCCTTCTCACCCCAATTCCTGCCTTAAAACTGCTTCAATTTTCTTTTTTTCTGGCACCTCGTATAGGAAACCGCTGATATTTTTTCCTTTTTGCAGCACCATTCGAAAGGCCACGAGTCTTGGTGCTGCACGTTGGTCTAAACGCACATTTATTTCAGGTACCCCGGAGGTGAATTGCAAGTACGTCACGTTAAGGAGAGGAGGAAAATGTCCTGTTAATGCCTTCCCCTTCGCACATGGCAGCAGCTAATTGGCAGTGAGAATACGAGGGCTGGAAGATAAAATATGTATGAAGGGGATTTGGGGCACGAAGCTTCTCTTTAGGTCTGTTTAACAACAAAAATACATGTTGGTGTCTTTGGCTAAGATATAAAATGTCAGTGCGAGCTGCGGTTGTGCAAAATAAGGGAACTACCCCCGTACCACATGATTTCTGTCTCCTCACCACTCTGCTACGGCCTCCGCCACCGTTGGGATGGTCCCAAGTGGTTGGCACGGAGTCCCCTGCAAGTTTGGCTCCCTCTGTGCCCATCCTTGGGAATTCTGCCCTCCTGGGGCTGCAGGTGGTCTCTCTGCTGCAACTTTGCATCTGTTTTCCTCCCGAGCCACCTGTTTTTGCTCTTAAAAACAGCTGCTTTCATGTTTCCTGCCACAAGTGGGTTTCTACTTCCCGTATTTCATCTGCCCAACTCTTCCTGTCTCCACTGTAAAAGTTTTAAAAAGTTTCTAGCAGGTAGTTGGTAGCAGAGACATCTCTCTTCTTAACTGCCCTTCCTGGATGTCCATCTGCTTTGGTCCCGGCCCAGAAACTGTCCAGGAGTCTCCGGTGTCTCTTATCTTCTTTATACCAGCACATGGAACAGGGTAGCAGAAAGGCTGTGGGATTTACATCCTTTGGGATATCAAAACTCAATGGGACGAGGCTTCATTAACCTACTTTGAGCAGCTGTAGCTTCCAGAGGCCTCTTCCAACCTGTGTTGTTCCCAGATCCCGCAGTAACAGGTGTATCCACCCTGTTATAAAGATGCCAGGTGTGGAATTTTGCTATTAAGACTCTGCCTTTTCCCACAAGCCAGGGGAAAGATGACGACCAGCGTCCTGCCTTCAGCGGGGGATGGATATTGCTATTACATCCTCACGGACGACTGTACATATGGCAGCAAGTACTTCCAAGCTGGGAACATCTGCTACTGCAGCGAGAGGAGCTATCTGCGCAACTTCTCCGACGACCGGCCCCCGACTTGTTTCCTCAAAGTCGTCATGTTGGAGGACGGCTCCACCGTCACCATCAACGTGGAAATCCTCGAGCCCGTGCGCGAGGAGACGACCGCCTTCCTCCTGGCCGTCGGCAGCCACCGGGAACGCCTGAACTGTTTCTTGGATGGGCTGCGCCTCGAGGCAGCTCTGAAGGCGACGCCGGGCCAGAAAGTGATGGTGGAGGTTGAGCGGCAGCAATTCCCCGGCGTCATCCGCTACATCGGGAGCGTTCACAAAAACACCCCGGCTGTGCTCTTGCCTGTCTTCTTTGGGGTGGAGTTACAGGTAACGGGGCCAAGGAAGAAGGGTGTTCTGCGTCCTTAACGTTTGTGTCGATCCACGGCGGTGCCTTTCATAACAAACATGGGATTCCTGCCCTGACCGTGTAGCCCTGGTGTCGTATGGACCTGGTCCGGGCTGCGCAACCACTTTGTCTGTGCTCCTCCCCTCTAACACCTTCCCTTGCCTTGCATAACTCCAAGGAACATCTGGCTTCCGCTGTTTTCCTTGGATTCTGCAAAAATCCGCCTCCTACGGCCGCGTTCCAGGCTAGGTGTGTCGCCGTGCCGGTGGCTCGGGATGTAACGTGCCTTTCTGGCATGTTTTCAGGGTGAAGGCGAAAACAGAGGGCGCACTGATGGCTCTTACCACGGCACTGAGTATTTCAAGTGCAAGCGGAACTGTGGGGTCTTCCTGCCATTTCACAGAGTCCACTTCGCTCCTGCGCCCGACGCCGACTACGCAAAGCAGAAGCCAAAGGCAGACGCGGAGGAGGTGGTTCCTGTGAAAGTGGGAGATGCAGTTAGTTTCTACGTGGACGAGGTCCTCACGAGGGGAGTAGCAATGGCAGTTTACAGGGAGGGAAGCCAGTGGTTCGTTAAAGTTTGTCCGGTAAGATCAGTGTTGCCTTTTCTATATTTAATTTACTTATTTTGTACCTATGTTGTGATGAGACCTTAAAAAGCAGCGGGAGGAATGCCCAAAAGGGATATGGGGTTGCATGCAAACGGCCTTTAAAATGGGTTCCTGTTCCAGGAAATCCCTGTTATCTGATAGATTTTAGCTGATTCGATCTTCTTTCCTATCAGGAAGAAGAAGGAACAACTGACATTTTCCGAGAAATCCCTATGGACTCTGTTGTGAAGGAAAACTTGCTCCCTCCAAGTAGGTTACCATGAGATGTGTATGCCCTGTGTACCTTGCTGTGGATTTAGACATTGGTTAATTTATTTGCAGGGCATCCAGTGAGCTGAAAGTGCAACAGAAGCATCAGCTAGTCCCAAGTAGCTTGGGTCCAGGAGGCAGAGAAGTTGAATAAAAAATATCTCGAGTTTTTGGGTAGGATTACTTGCATTAGGCAACTAGAGCTCTGAGTCTCCCGGTTTATCAGAAAAAGCAGAGGTTTTGCTTGCAGGGCATAACTATTTTTCTAGGGAAGAAAACAGTACTGGTTAGAGAGTTTGTAATTTAGTTGTAGTAGGTGGATCAGTAGCTTCATCCTGATGCTGGACAAGCTCAAAGGCTCGGACGACAGCAGTGACGACGTGAGTCATTAGGTGAACTAGCAAATTGGTGCCTTCTGCCTCTTGCCACCAAAACAATGCTGTTTTTGTCAGGGCTGGCCAAGGGGAGCAGTTATCAGACTTTTCCCTAAGCTGATTCATCTCAGTAAAGGCAGAAAAACAGCAGGGACCCAGCACTACCACCAATGCAGGCTACTGCAGAGGGCTGGATTAAGCTCCAGAGCAAGGCTGGGGTGTGCAGCCTTGAACAGGGAGAAGGAGGAGAGGGATCCTCCCCTTTCAGTCTCAGCAAGCTGTTGGACCAGCTCTGCTTTTCCACTGAAGCTAGCGCTGTGAGTCACACCTCGTGCCTTCCGTGCATGGCCTCATGATTCCTTCTGCTCTGCTCTAGAATTTCAAAGTAGAACCAATGTTGTCATTAGAAGTTGGCTTCCTACCTCCCTTGACATTCTGGTTTTGCTCACTAGATTTGTTTTTACCGTACGAGTCTGACATGGACCCAGGACATCCAAAACAGATGAAACAAGAGCTAAGTGAGAGCGCTGAGGATTGTGAAAGTGGAAACTCGTCCCTTGAGGTGAACTCCATGGTCCAGATCACCTTGGACAAGGGAAACCAAGTGTCAGGAATCATCCGCTGGTTGGGATACCTGCCCCAAATTAAGCACAAAATGGCAGGAGTTGAACTGGTAAGGAGCAAAAATACTTGCTGTGAGGGTGCAAATCAGAAGCAGCTTTTTTCTGAATGTCTGAAGAAATTCAGGCTGCGTTTCTGTCAGCATGACCGTAGCTGGGCCACTGACATGTCAGAATTTGAACTCTTGAGGACAAGCCCACCTGGTAGTAAGTGTATTGCCTAGGGCAAGGAACTGATGTTCAAGATGCCAGAGTGTTTTATACATTTTATATATATGTATATATACACACACACACAAGTATATACATAGGTCTTCTACTGACTTGCTGTATGAAATGAGGCAAGTCTCATGCTGTCTTGTTAACCCCAGTTATCACTGAGGACACTTTAATGCCTGCAGAGTGATTTTTGGGGCTTTATTTGCTGCTCTGACAAAGGCCTTCAAGAACCTTGAGGGATGTTATGGGAACATGGGGCAGAATAATCACGATTCCTGCAAACGGCTTCGCTAGGTTTCAAGCATAATCAGAATAAAGGAAAATACCTGCAAAATGAGACCAAATGTACATAGCTTTCAAGATGCAAAATAACCATGTGGGGACTCACCTGGAGTATTGGGTGCAGTTCTGGGCTCCCCATTATAAGAGGGATGTGGAGCTTCTGGACAGGGTCCAGCGGAGGGCAACAAAAATGATTAAGGGACTGGAGCATCTGTCTTATGAGGAAAGAGAAGAGAAGGCTGAGAGGAGATCTGGTCACTAAGTACAAGTGACAAGTGAGTGGAGAATGTAAGGAGGAAGGGGCCAAACTCTCCTCAGTGGTGGCCAGTGATAGGACAAGGGGCAATGGGTACAAGTTGAAACACAGGCAATTCCATCTCCATGTGAGGAAGAACTTCTTCCCTGTGAGGGTGACAGAGCCCTGGAACAGGCTGCCCAGGGAGGTTGTGGAATCTCCTCTGGAGATTTTCTAAACCCACCTGGATGTGACCCCATGTTCTGAGTGTCCCTGCTTGGGCAAGGAGGTTGGACTACATCACCTCTAGAGGTTCCTTCCAACCTCAACCATTCTGTGAATTGCATCTCCTTCTTATGGTTCCTGCTCTCGTGTCCTTCATTTGTGCTCTTTTCCCAGGATGAAGACAAGGGGGTCACAGCTGGTGAGTGGCTGGGCAAATACTATTTCCACTGCGCTCCGAAGCGTGGCCTCTTTGTGAAGCTGCAGTCGTGCCAGCCCGACGTTCGCTTCCAGTGTTCACCCCACAGTGACCTGAATCTCATGGATTATAGTAAGTTTTCTGGGGAGAGAGGAGACAGGATCAAGCTAGGAGAAAACCTAGTGCAGAGGTCCTTGTGTGCAGTCCAATTCCAGGTACTGAGAGCAAAATGCCTCAAATTTATCACTCAGAGGGTCCAAAATCTCCTTTCAGCCTCAGAAAGCACTGTGTGTAGGCCTGATATGTGTCCTTGTGCAGAGAAACTGAGGATTTCTCCACATTCTTCCCTGCACATCAGAACTCGCTGGTAAAGTTATTTCTCTCTTGTTACAACACTCAAGAGGGCGAGTTGCTGCAAACACTTTATTGCAGTAATTGCTTTATATGCATGGAATAAAAAGATAGTCCTGATCCCCAAAATCCTGAAGTTTGAGAGCAGAGATGTTCACACCAGGAAATTTTAAGACAATATTGTTTCACCTTCATCGTTTTCCTTGGGGGGTTGTAAGAGATATCAATTTTAAGGACAGGGAGGAAAGGAAAAGGGAAGGGAAGCCCTTGTATAAATGAAACCTGATTGTGGACAAGTGTTTTAGGGCAGCTAGGCTAGACCCTATGGCTATCTTAAATGTTCCACCAATGTAAGTTGTATATGTGGGTCTGGAGAGTTGGAAGGGGCAGCACAGGGACACAGGCAGGATGTCAGGTGATACTAGTGTTGTACCTGAGAAATAAGTGGGAGATGGACAAGGGAGAGATGATTAAATTGGTTGTAATACAGAGCTTGAAGGAAGGCGTTTAGAACCAGGGAATCGGGGATGTTTCAGCTGTACCCTGGGCGTTTCCATTCCTCCTGGAACCAGGATAATGGGACATTCAGTCCTCTTCATTCGTGGCAGGGTTGGAGGGACTAATCCAAGCTGTGATGTTTGGTACCAGCTTCTACCTACTCCCTTGGGCTCCATAATCACAGCTTGTATCACAGATATTTCTGAAGAGAGCTCCCAAGCTTGCATCTGACACAGCACCAACTCATTTGTAGGTCTTTTTCTCCTCCTTATCCTTGGCAGAAGGATGGGAGAGGTAGTGTGGATTGGGAGGACTCTGCTCTGGCAAGGAAGAGATGGTTTGTTGGGCAGAAGGGAGCTGGATGAGCTGGGAAGCTAAAGGGACTTGCTGCTGTTCCTTGTGTTGCAGGAGAACAAGAAGCTCTTCCCCAGGTCCGGGAGAATTTTCCTCCCCTCGGGAACGAGAGGGCAGTACAGGTCCTGCAAGGGCGGATGAAGGGGATTCAAGGCCACTGTAATTCCTGCTATATGGATGCAGCTCTCTTCAGGTAAGAGTCTGCTTAGGCAGGGCCCTGCTGCAAAATTATAGCCTTTTAACAGAGCCTGAAGCCCAAAGCTTCCCTGCACCTCCAGCACAGCTGCAAACTCAGCCAGCAGAAGCAAGGATATAATTGTGTGGAGAGGCAGCCTCACTGCTCACTGCCTTTTTCATCTCCCTTGTAATCTGGTAGGTTTGCAGGCTTCAAAGTAGCCCTCAGGAGTACCTAAGGTACCTGAGTGTCTGTCCAACAGGGTAGTGAAAGATGGTTGTTCTCTGGACCAGACCAGGCTGACTCTGCCATTGGAGGTAATGACCAGAAACTTCAAAGAAACAGAAATTTCAAAGAAACTGCCACTGGAGAGGAAAAGACTCAGTGATGCCCCCACCATGAGCAGTTTTGGCTGCAAAGTGGGAGATTTTCTTGTCTCTTAAGCTGTTTTCTTACTTGCTGGAAGTGTTCATTAAACCAGACAGAGTTTATTTACTTCTTTACAGTCTTATTGCTGAGATTCTTTATCACTCATGTTTCTGCAATTGCATGCACGGGTTGTGGAAAATAAAACCCAGCGAGTGTCACTCAGCACTGCAGTTTGGATCTACCTGCTGCTGCCACCCCATCAGACTTGCACGTGTTCTCTTCGCAGCCTCTTCTCCTGTACGTCCGTGCTGGACTCCATGCTCTTCAAGCCCTTCCCGCTGTGCGACAGGAATGTCCAAAACATTCTGCGGGATGAGATTGTGAATCCCCTCCGGAAGTGAGTATAATATGTGAGGAATTTGGGAAGGCGCCGGTCTGTCTTCATACCTTCTCTGCCAACCAGGTGGTAGTTGTCACTGAGAGAAAGGGTGGCCTGCAGGAGGTCTCCTGCCAGCCACATCCAAAGCTCTTCCTCTCGGATTTCTCTTCCAAGGGTTCCCTTTCTGTAAGGCTGTCATGAGTCCTGCTGTGTGCATGTGAGAAGTTAATAGCCCCATTTCATGGGAATACCTATGAAAGTTGGAATGTTGATCCTTCAGCTTGTTGGATCTGCGGTGTATCGACAGGCAGTGAGCATTGGGGCTACTGCCCGTGGCATGAGAGCTAAATTCTCTGGATTTTGTATCAAAAATAGCAAGTTCTCTCCTCGCCATCCCTGTTTTCTCCTAGGTGTGGGAGAGAGGCATGGAGAGCTGCTTGTATGCAAGGTGTTAGCATCCTTCCAGGTGGGCTGAAGCCTGGAACTTCCTCGCTGGGATACAAACGAGGGATTCTTTGAGACACTGGGATTTAAATAATCCTCCCCTGCTACTTTTTGCTTTCAGGACTGGCTTTGTCATGGCCAGGAGTGTGATGCACCTTAGGGAGCAGCTCACTGAGAAGGGCCAGTACTCGAGTTTTGCCACTGCTGAGAAAGGTAATACATGTCTGGAGCCTTCCCAGAATTGCCTGGATGTGAACTGCCTCATCCAGGTGCCAGGCTGGCAACATAGGTTTGCACTCCTCCCATGCACATGCATTAAAATGCCTGCTTTATATATTTTACATTCACATAAAAATGCATGTATAAAACATTTTCGTTTTTTAAAGCTCTGCAACGTTTGTGATAGCTATTGCTATTGGGAAGAGAGAGGAAGAACTATGTAAACAGAATTCAAGCAAGGGAAATTTCCCCAGGTTTTGATTTATACTTGGAGTAATGGCCTGAGAAGTCTGTCCCTAAACAGCATATGTATTTTAGCCAGGGATGGTTTAGCTTCTAATTTGTTTCTTGAGCTTCTGTAGCTCTTCCTCATTTCACTTTAACTTAATGGGCAGCTGCCATTAGCACTAAAAACATTAAGGTGCCTCTCTCTCTGAAAGGAGTGTCACTGTGCTTGCTCAGCTTGGAAGAAAGCAGTATCAGCTCTGCATGCATCATCTAAGCAGCCAAATACAGCTTAAAAAAATATTCTATCTTGAAGAGATTGAAAAATCAGCTAAGAGAAGGACAGTTTTTCTTCTGTTGTCTCTGTATAGAGGAACAATTTACCTTTTTTCATGTCTGTTTGAAGATTCATGCATTAACCAAATGCACTCGGCTCCTCATTCAAACGCCACCTTAGCTGGAATAAAAGGGAAGATTCCCAGTTTCCAACTGCTGGTTCTTGTTTGTCAGAGAGATTTAACCTTCTGGATGGGTCCGGGTAAGCGAATGTTCCTTGTGTGATGTCACTTGTTCTGTTCTCTGAATTTCCAGATCCTGAGGAGTTCCTCAATCTGATAATGCATCAGATCCTGGGAATAGAGCCCCTCTTGAAACTGCAGTAAGTTTCTGTATCGAGGTGATGCAGTTTTCCCAGTCCAGGTTCACTGCTTATCCACTTGGCAATTATTTCCTATTTTATCCAGGCTTTGCAGGCACAACCCAGCAAGTTGTATACAGGTCCTCCCTGCTGTCCCTTAACTATAGTCTGTGCAGCTTGTTGTCATCCTGTCCCAGGTGGCCAGTCTAGGAAAAGATGCTTCCAAACTCCCCCTGGACACGTCACCTTCAGAAAATGATGAAAGAAACTGTTATCAGAGCTGGTAGTGGTTTGGGAAGCCTAGTGTCCATCTTCAGCACAGAGCCAACACAATCTGACAGCCTTTGGATGTAGTTAAGTTGTACCCAGACTGTCAAACTGGCTCAGATCCTAGAGTCTGCCAAACAGGGAGCCCATGGAGTGTAGTCTCAGTTTTCTCAGGTCTCTACAAAGAAAATGAGAGGCTGAAGGAAGCCAAAAATAACGGTGCTGTTGAGAAACACAGAAGGGGATTGTTGGCTCTCTGGGCACCCTTGTGGGGTTCTCAGTCAAGCCTCAGCTCATGGAGCTGCTCAGAAAGGCCGAGCACAGAGGCAGCTCTGTGCTGCAGCTCCCCTGCAGAGGGTCAGCTAAAGGAAATCCTGTCCCTGCTGGCTCTGGGATGCAGAAATTCTGGCACCTCTTTTGCACATAACTCACCTTTTGAATGCAAGTTTAGCCTTGCAGCAAAACTTGGACCAAGTTTTGCCTTGCAACCTTTTGTGTGTGCCATTATAAATAGAGTTTTTAGCTGAGTTGATTTTGCTGACTGTGCTGTAGAGCAGTTGGCTGTGAAATACTGAAACATCTTAAATTTTTACGCTGAAGAGGGAGAAACTGAGTTTAGCTCTTTGGAACAGGATATGTAGGTAGTAGGATAAAGAGACTGAATATTCAGTGAGTATTTAGTATTTCTGGGTAGAGAAGTGCTTCTTTTCAGTCTCCCAGCAAGCACCCCTTGGTGCCCTATGCCCAGAAACGATTACAGGACAAAAATGGAGTGTCCTCTGAGAGGTCAGATGTCTGTGGCAACAAGCTGCCTGTGACCACTTCCTGCAGGTCCGGAGGCCAGGAGGAGCAGGAATGTTACTGCTACCAGATATTTATGGACAAACAGGAGCATCTGGTGATTCCTGATGTGCAGCAGTTAGTGGAACACTCCTTCCTGTCCTCCAATCTGAAGCTAGTGGAGGTGAGCCCGGCTACCTTCAGCCTCCCTCACTATCTGCTGCCTTTTCCTTCCTTCCTCCGACGTGCCTGTGCCTGCTAGATAATCTGCAGGGGGTCTAGTGTGTCTTACATCTAACACAGCAAAGCAGCAGCTTAGCCACGACCTGAGAGAAGTCTTGGGATATAAGAGCATGAAGGAAAAGGGGTCTTGCTTTTCCCCTAGTGCTGTTATGTTCTGTGAACACCACAAGCGGAAAAGCTTTAGCCCCTGCAGCCGTAGAGAGAGAAGAGTCCCTGGCACTTGGCTCTTCTGCCTTGGTGACATGTTTGCCTTTCTCTTCCCAGATCCCATCTTGCTTCATTATCCAAATGCCACGTTTTGGGAAGGAGTATAAAATGTTCAGCAAAATCATTCCTTCCTTAGAGCTGGATATAACTGACCTGCTGCTTGACAGTAAGTTCTTGGGCAGGAACCGTGTGATGGGTCTCGTCTCTTCAGTTTGCGAGTGGGAGACGTGATGGGGGAGGATCCTGCTGGGATTCCTATTCCCTGAGTGCTAGTTTAGGTAAGACAAGGTGTATTTTGTGGGAGGGACCTGGGGAGGACACGTCTCGTCACCTCGGCAGGTCCCAGGGAGTGCTGCGTGTGTGGCGACGTGGCCACCCTCGAGTGTTCGGAGTGCTTCAAGGACAAGGTGTTTGCAGCCTCGGGCCTCAAGCAGTTCTGCAGCTCCTGCTCCAGACAGGTATCATTTTCTTTGGCTACTTCCATAATCTGCCCTGGTGGCTGAGAAGGGATCAAAAGAGCTGGAATGGGTTTCTTTGCTGTCCCTACAGCTGCTCAGCTCAAGTAGAGATGGGCTGAATGAGCCATGTGAGCAGGGACAGCTGTCACCCATTACTAAACTCTCCTGCATTGTCCTCTGCTCACATATAGTGTAAATAAGCCCTATTTTTGCCCAGAGGCAGTGCTGGGTCCTTGGTGTCGCTCCTAGTAAGACACTCCTATGGCTTTGGGCCACGCTCAGCTGGCAGCACCTTTCCAACCCAGCTCCTAGCTTTCAGGCTGTCGCCGTTTCGCTCTTCTCTGGTACGTGGGGAAGAACAAGCGCTGCCATCCGCCGTCTCTCCTCAGGTTCACTCCCATTACCGGCGCAGAGCCCACATGCCGAGCAAGCTGCACGTCCCCGAGGAGTTTCACAGCAGGAGCCCCCGTGGCGACGGCCAGCAGGTCCCGCGCGAGAAGATGGAGCTCTTTGCGGTGCTCTGCATCGAGACCAGCCACTACGTCTCCTTCGTGAAGTACGGCCCCGAGAACGAGCACTGGATGTTCTTCGACAGCATGGCCGACCGGCATGGTGAGGACGGCGCGGCGGGCTAAGCATGGGGGGCGTCTGGGAGGGTCTGTAATGCAAAGCACGTAGGTGGTGGTCGCTCTGCTTCGAGGTGGTGCGAGGTTCCAGCAGAGCTTCGGAGCGCCCTTGTGCCTACAAGGAGCATGAGGCTTTGGGAGTGAGTGAGGGGTGCTGGGGAAGAGGAGCTTTCTGTAACAAAGGGGAAGCCTCGTGTCTGAATTTTAGCCTGGAGAAGATTGAGAGGGGATCTGATGAATATGTACAAATACCTGAAGGGTGAATGTAGGTAGGAAGGGGCCAAACTCTTCTTGGTGGTGGCCAGTGATAGGACGGTGAGTAACGGGTATAAATTGAAACCCAGGAAGTTCCTTCTGCATGTGAGGAAGAACTTCTTCACTGTGAGGGTGACAGAGCCCTGGAACAGGCTGCCCAGGGAGGTTGTGGAGTGTCCTTCTCTGGAGGTCTTCAGAACCCATCTGGATGCCACCCTGTGCCACATGCTCTAGGTGTCTCTGCTTGACCAGGAAGGTTGGACTAGATGATCTCTAGAGGTCCCTTCCAACCTCAACCATTCTGTGATTCTGTGAATTGGGTGCCCTCAGGATCCTTCATCCAACACCAATTGTTAAGCAAAGCCTAAGCAAGAGGATGACCAGGCCATGCACATGCTGAGAGGCCCTTCTAGTGGGGATTTTTGGAGCCAGCCAAGGCTTAAAAAAGGACAGTTCTGTCCTGCCTCACTTCATTTTTGGCATCTCAATATCTCAGACAAGGTACCACATTACTGTCCCTTGCAATGGTACCCGCTCGAGCTGTGAATCCTTGTCCCTCGGGACCTGCTTTGGACTCACACCCGTTTCCCTCTTTTTTGAGACAGGAGATGAAAAGGGCTTCAACATTCCCATGGTAACGCTGTGCCCTGAAGTTGCCAAATACCTGGACTTGCCCGTGGCCACGCTGGCCCTGGAGCAACCCCGCGACATGGACGGCGTGGCCAAGCGCCTCTTCTGCGACGCCTACATGTACATGTACCAGAGCAAGAAGATGGCACTTTACAAGTGACGTTGCCTGGCTTGGTGCTGCCCTGCAGAGCAGCAGCGTTTCAGCGACGTGAGCTTGGACCCAACCTAGAGCTGCTGAAGGGTGAAAGCAGCCAGGGTGCTGGACGCCCAACTTGCACTTGTGCCTCTTCTTGCATCCTTCGGTGCTTGATATCGAACTGTCTCCAGGAGCTCCTTGGGGTTTGGACCTGGCCATCCCTGAGAGCTTGTACTGCCCCAGAGCTGACGCACTCAGACACATTCCCCTTTCCCACCCTGTGCCTTCTCTAGGTTTTCTGCAGCTCAGGGTGCTCCCACAGCTTCCTCCTCACCATGTCCCCTTTGGTTGGGACCAAAACATGAGCAGCTTAGAGCAGTAGCTCTAACCAGGAGCAGTTGCCTTCTGACTTGCCAAGGGTACCAGAAAACCATGGTCTCACCCTGACTAACACTTCTTCACGTGGACTTGCTGAAGAGGTGTTGGGAAGAGGGGTTTCCTTGAGGAGTGCAGCTGCAACCTGAGCTCTTCCACTTCCTTTTAGCACTTACTGTCTTATCTCCACATCAATTCCTGAGATCCATGACCAAGAGCAGTAACGCACTTCTCAGAGGGGAAAAATACATAAAAACAATCACTTTTAAAAATTTCTTTTCTGCTATAGCTGCACTAACACTTAGGACCTCTCTTGGACGCCTCCTCTTCTATTAATTTAAATAGTTTACATTTGCAAAGTAGGGGTTCTTGCCCCTTGAGCACATGCTCTCAGTGCCTGCAGGCAGCTGTGCTAAGACTTCAGCTGCTCAGGTTGAAGACTGACGGTACCTGAGAAACCCAAGGGCTGCAGCTCCTGCAGCTCCTTCCTCTGCATCCGTGGAGCGAGGCTGCCAGGTCTGCTGCTGCTGCTGCCTCCGAGCGTCCTTTCCTTGTCTGCTCTTCCTTCAGCATCTGGTACACACATCTCGGATACAGTGAGGCCTCAACTTTTGTGCCTCTGGTACTTTAATGCTAAAATTTTTAAGCTAAAATGCAAAGCAGTTACCTCTCAGCGAGAGTGTTTTATATTTTTCCCCCTTTATTGAATGTGCTAACCGTGGTGCAGTGCCTTACACAGCACAGGCCCAGCTGTAGCCATGCATCAAAAATTACCTTCCTAGCCTCTTCTTTTACTTTTTTTCTTCTAAAAAGGGATCATCAGTCTGTGCTTCACTGACCTCTTTTTAATCTCTAGGGTATGATATTTTTTCCCATCGACGTATTCTGCGAAGATACAAATCACCAACAAAAAAATACTTCTTACCACTAGAGGAGGATGTACAAATCCAGATGACTTTGCAGTTGTTGGAGCAGGGAGCATGGACATCAAGCACCATCCTTGCACCTCCTGAGCACCAGGATGAAGAGCCCAGCTCCTGAAATGGGGTCCAATGTCTAGAGCAGCCCCACATTGAAGACACACCTCAATCTCACCAGTATTTTCTGCACTGCTCTCCCTGGCTGCACATTTTACGGTGCGGGGCTTGACTGGAGTTTCTTTGCTAATCCATTTTACAAGCTGAAGGTGTCAGGGGAAGGATTTGATCTCGTTACCTTACAAACCCAGCTGGGATTAGCAAAAACCTGCTCCTCTCCCAAGTGCTGTGTCTTTGGGGGCTGCTTTTCCATTCCATGTAATAAGTTTTGTCGATTCCACTTTGATAAAGGCTTTGGAACCATCAGTGCTTCAGCTGTGTGTCTGAGACATGTCCAGAAAGGTGCAGCTGGTGACATGGGAGCCAGCGCAGCACACAGGGCAAGGGGCTGCCACACCATGGGGACATGGAGCACGTGTCTGAGAAGAGCCCAGGCCCTTTTACCGTCTCCCCCTGCTTTTCGTTTCACCTCTGTTCCCTTCTAAAACATGACGTGAAGTGAAGGATGTTGAGTTGTGTTGAACCTCAAGGAAGGGAGTGTTGCTGGAGGGACCACACAGCCACACGTGTTGTTGGTAGCGAGGGGATTAAGGGCATTTATTTCATTTTTGTGCTTGGGCCAAAGTAATTGCGGAGACGAGGGCCCCGTTTTCTGTATAAAAGTCAAGTTCAAGGGTCCCTGCGCTAACACAAAACCCATCTCCAGGCTTGGTTGGGGCCTGATATAAAACAGAAAGATATAAAAAGTGGGCAGAGAGGCAAAGCTGAGAGCAGGGAAGGCAAAGTGTGTCCCAGAAAGCAGAAGGTGGCAGGGACAGGGTCACTGCAGCCCCATTGTAGCGAGCCTTGATGTGGCTTTAAGGTCATGGCATCGGTCCCCTATCCATGCCATGGCCATGGGGCAGCAGCAGAGGGGTTCCTGGGGCCTCCAACCCCTCAGCCAGGCCTGCGAGGAGCCGGGGGAGCTGGGGCATGGAGGCAGCACCACAAGGCACAGGGTTGGCACGGGCAGCACCAAAGGCACCAAGCACGCGAGGCCACCAACGCGGGACACCCGCAGCTGCCAAGACCACCTGGCAAGGGGACACTGCCCCATTGGGAACGCATGGAGCAGGGTCATCCCGTCACCCCACAGAGCGACGCCGTCGTCAGAGCCGTTCGTTACGGACCAGGCAGCGGATGGATGCGGGGAGAGGGCGCCAGAGCAGCAGGCCCCGGTGCGCTAGCTGGCCCGCCGCAGCTCCTCGAAAAGGCCCTGCAGCTTCTCCGTGATGGCCACCTGGGGCAAGAGGGGATGTGAGTGGCCGCCCCGGCGCCGGCATGCGAGGAAGAGCCCTGTGTGTAGGCACCCACGGGTGTCCCCACGCGCCGTACCGGGTAGGGCTCGGGCTGGTGGAGCTGCCGGTGCGCCGGGCCGAGGCGGGCGAGCGCGGCCTGCGCGTGGCTCCTCACCTGCGGCAGGCTGGGCAGCTCCTCGCACACCTGTGGGAGGGAGGCACGAGCGCATCCGCACCAGGAGCCGGCCCCCGAGGCAGCCGGGGCTGCGCAAGCGCCCGGCGCTCCCCAGATTAGTAACGTTTTTAAACCACAGAAAACCCAGGTCGGGTTAGGCACAGGGCTAGACGCTCCTTCTCCAGCCACGGGGCTCCCGCCTTCCCCCAGCACGGCCTGGATGAGGATGCCACGTGGTGGGGACAGGGACATCCCAGAGCCAGGCGAGCTCCAAGGCCATGGAGGGGAGAGGGCAGAGCCGGTCTGACCTGTCCGTCCCTGAAGTACGTGCGATGCAGGGCCTCCACGGTGGTGGCCTTCACCTTCCGGGCCTCTCCGTTGTGCCCCAGGACGTGGACCGTGAGCTCCTGGCCCGCGCTGGGCGAGGGCTCCTCCTCCAAGGCCATGAGGTCCATGAAGGGGTAACCTGCAGGGTTGGGGGACAGCAGGCGAATTGCAAAGCTGGCGGCGGGATTTGGGGACAAGGGGACGAAGCTCAGCACTCCTGGAGGAGTCTCCCAAACCTCTGCCCTTGTGAGGAGCTCTGGGCCTTAACAGCCAGCAGGGAGTCTCACTGGGCAAGGTGGGCACCATGAGCAGCAGGGCTCACCAGCAGCATCATAGAGCCGATAGACCCTCTTCACCCCCGGGATTGTCATCTTCTCCTCGTCCTCCGTGAGCTTCAGGCACGGGGAGTCGTTGACCTTCACCAGCTGTGGGAGGAGGCCGTGGGGACAGGAGCCGGGGAGGCTGGTGGCGCGCGGAGAGTGGCACTGCGGCCGCCGTTACCTTGTAGACGCAGCCCAGCGACGGCTGCAGCGGGCACGTCACCAGGTTTGTCCCGATGCCCAGCACGTTGATCTCGCTCCCCTGCCGCAGCAGAGAGGACAGCGAGTGTCAGCAGCCCGATCCCACGGCTGGGTTTTAGCCCGTGCTAAAGGCAGAGCCGTGGGGCCATCAGAGGCTGCTGTGTTCGGAGTATCCATCCATCCATCCATCCATCCATCCATCCATCCATCCATCCATCCATCCATCCCTCCTTTCCATCCATCCACCCATCCACCCATCCATCCCTTCCTCCCTCCTTCCCATCCATCCATCTCTCCATCCATCCATCCCTTCCTCCCTCCTTCCCATCCATCCATCCATCCCTTCCTC